TGACCTGAATCGAACCTGGGACCTCGCACACGTCCCCCGTCCTCCCCCCCCCCATGCTCTATCCACTGAGCCAAACAGTTTTGGCTCAATATCTTCATTATGTTTGAGCCAGAGTGGTCAAATGACCAGCTCAAGTAGGATAAAATTATGGGGAGGGGGGCATCTGATTTGCTTAAAGTTTACAAACCAAATTTCAAAGTGAGGAAGTTAGGGGAAATTGACTTCAAAGTTAATTTGTAAATAAAATATTTATCAAGAAATAAACTTGATCTTGAGAGAAGATGCTACACGACTAAGAAAAATGCAAGTCAGGGCAACTTTCAAGTCAGTTCAGGATATTTGATGCATAGAGCTGAAATGTTTTCTTATTTGTCCCAACTTGCTAATTTGTTTATTTCTATATTCAACAAAGTAGTGTCTGTACATTCACTAAACAAAATGGCTTGCTATTCCCCAGCCTTTTTTCTCTATTGAATTAAGCACAGCATCAAACCATTAAGGTGACCTTAAAGAAAATCAATATCGTCCCCAGGCTCACGACCACTCACTCCACAGCTTAATTGGTCCTTAGCCTTCAGCTTTTGACTCTAGACTTGTATTATCTAACACAGTTGCCACTAGCCACATGTGGCTAGTGGGTACTTGAAATACGATTGACCCAAATTGGAAATGTTCTTTAAGTAAAAATACAGATTTTAAAGGTTTAGTAAAAAAAAAAAAAAAAAAAAAAAAAAAAGCAAACTATCTCAATAATGTTTTATATTGTCCTCATGTGAAATGATGTTTCTATTATATTGGAATAAATATAATTTTAAATTAATCTCACCTATTTTTAAAATATTTTTTAATGTGGCTGCCAAAAAACTTTAAATTATTTCTTTAGCTATCATTATAGTTCTACTGGACAGTGCTGCTGTAGACCCCAGGACTTTTCGGAACCAGGTGGGGAAGGTTAGTCTTAAGGTCAAATGTTGCCCTTTTCTGACGTTCTCTGTCTTAGGTGATGTAGCTGTGTCACTTTCTGGGAAGATAGGTGCCCCCCTAGCCCATTCAGAATGGAGTCCTAAAGAGGCTGAAGGAGTTAAAGGACAGTTTGAGATCACTGAGAAGATCCATATTTCCAAGAATTGAGGACAATAGGTGATTATCCACCCAAGGCAACAACTAAGATTCACCTTAACTTGGCTGTTCTGTGTTACTTGGATTATCTCTTTTAACTGTTGTGACAACTCTCACATTTAGGTGCTATTATTACATACACATTGTACAAATGCGTAAATGGAAGTTAGGGAGCTGGCAGGTGTGGTATGGTGCTTTGACTTCAGTTGGTCCAACCATCTAGTGGTATATCTAGCAAGATGATGAGCTTCCTGTGTATCCCATGCCTTGTCCATACATGACCTGACACATTAGATGGCCAGTAAATATGTGCAGTAACATATAATAGTATGATTTCAACCTTGTAGGGATATAAATGGAAAAGTCTGGAAAGAAATACATCAAAATGTTAAAAGGTGGTGATGTTTATGGGTGTGTTTCTTTGTAATGTACATTTAAAAAAACTTTATCTCACCAAAACCGGTTTGGCTCAGTGGATAGAACGTAGGCCTTCGAATTGACAGGTTCAATTCCAATCAAGGGAATGTACATTGGTTGCAGGCACATCCCCAGTGGGGGGTGTGCAGGAGGCAGCTGGTCGATGTTTCTCTCTCATCCATGTCTCTGGCTCTCTATTTCTCTCTGTAAAAAATCAATAAAATATATTTTAAAAAACTTTATCTTTACGTTTTTCTGTATCTTCCAAACTTTTGACAGTGTGCATATACTGTTTTGACTTATTTCCATTCCTCTTTAAGTCATTTAAAATGTCATTGAAAGAGAATGTAGGTGGTTACTGACTACTGACGCATTCTCAGTGCTGACATTGCTCTCTCCTCTGCAAGCGCCCTCTCTCCCTCCCCCCAGCATGTTTCATTCCCCTCACAGTTAGTGTCCCTCTCCTCTTCTTGGCTTCTCCGTTTTCTGTCTCAGTCTCTCCTGCTTTTTCACCTCTTTCTCTTTTCCCTCTGCCTCTCTCTGACCTGTTCCTTTCTATGACCCTCTCATATTTTTCCTCTGGATCTTCCTCCTTTCCTGTCGCCCATCTCCCTCTTCTTTTTGAGAAGATTGACATTCACATGAAAGGTCAATCAAATGCTACTTTGCACCTGGCAGGTTTTAGGCAGATTCTACCTGCCTCTGGAGTCCTGAAAAAGGGCGTTGAGGGAGGGGGCAATGGAAAGCAGACTTCTAAAGAGGATGCTACGTTTTGGATAAAATAAGAGATGGGAGAGGACACTTCAGAGTGACAAACGCAGTGAGAACAAAGGTGTACGGGTTCTCTGGGGGGGGGGGGGGCGCGGGGCGGGGTAGGTGAGCAGAGGCTCTTACTTTGTTGGGTCTGGGGATTGCTGTCTCAGATGCTGGCACTCACTTAGAAGGATGCGGACCTTAGTTGATTTGAGCTCCTGGATTGAATTAGTCCTGGTTGTATAATTGACTTTGATATGTGGCCTTTAGATCTGAATTGGGTTTAATAAGATTTAACTGCTTCAAAGGGCTTTATAAGAATTCATTTTAGCCTTTAAATCTGATTTCAAATGCTACCTATTTTGAGACAGCTTCTCTGACTTTGATGCTCCTCCTCCAGCACTCTTATTGTGCCACAGTTGATACATACCTTATTCAGGCAATCATTTCTATTGTATTTTATCTTACACTGTGGGAAATGATTCCTTTATTGCCTCTCTTTAGGAATCTTGAGGGACAGGCAAGTATCTTATTCACATTTTCATCTTAGGCCTAGCGCAGACCAGCAACACAATTGGTTGAGCGCACAGTGCTGAATAATGATTTTAAAAGTATATTAATAGCTAACATTTATTAAGCACTGTGGCAAGCCCTATACTTACACTGTTTCAGTCACTGGACACTTTAGGAGAAAAGTACTTTCATTATCCCCATTTTACAATGAGAAAACTGAGAATAAGAGAAATTTATTTGAGAAAAAAATTTGATCTCAAGTCAAATTTGATCCAAGATCAACTAGTAAGTAGAAGAACTTCTAAAGGCTTTTGCCTTCAAGATCTGGGCTCTTATCCACCATAGGTGAATGAATGGATGGATGAGAAATGCTTTTCATTCTGTGGCTAAAGAAGTGACATTTATTTTACAGAGGCAGTTATAATTTAAAGTTATGGTAAATCCTACCTCACTGATGTTTCTAACTTTTTGAATCACCTTTCCTCCCTCCTCCTTCCCCTCCCCCTCGGCTTTTTTTCTCTCTTTCTTTCTTCTCTAACACTCTCAGGAAAAGTCTTGGAACTTCTATATTGAAATGTAACCCAGGCAATAACTGAATGTTTCCTGGGGAAGGAAACCAACATTTTATTAGGTTCCTGTTTCTTGCCATTCATTTGCAAATTTACAAATATCGGGGCACCTACTGTGTGCTAGGAACCTTTTGTTGGCACTAGAGATAGAGTGAAAAACAAAACAAAGTCCCAGTTCTCACGGAGATTACACTCTAGTGGGCACTTTAATAACCACATGAGGTAATGATGACAATAATAATGGATTATGCCAGGCATTGGGCTATCATGCTTTATTTGTATTAACTCAGTTATCATAACAAAACCCCGTGAAGTAGGGCGTATGTTTCCCCCATTTTACAGATGAGGAAAACGAGACAGAAAGAGGTGAAGTGACTCGGTCAAAGTTCAAACCCAGGCAATGTGGCTCTAACTCCCAGGTTCTCAACCGCGAGGCTATCTTGTTATATGTTTCTTTCTCAATATGACAACTTTTAAGGGGCTAAATCCTATCTCAGAACGTCTGACTCCCAAGCCCAGGGCTTTGCGCTTGCACCCCAGCGGCCTCCTGAAATGAATGAGAATGCCTTGTAATTTTTGCAGCACTTTCTCTTCCAAAGAATCCAAACTGCTTTCCACGTAATTCCCGGATTTGCGATGCGAACCCTCCCTCTTGTACTGTCAACTCCCCAGCAAGGAAGGCGAAAGATAGGACCAGGGCCCGGGACATCTGACACTGGCCGGGGCGCCCAGCAGGTGGCGCTCTCTCAGTGGCCAGCGGACGTCTGCCCAATCTCCCCGGCTCTCCGCCTCCTCCGCCAGCTTCCCGGTCCTGCCTCACTCCCTTCTCCCCCCTCCCCACGGAGCCCGGGCCCACGTGACCCCAGGCCGGCCAATGGGCGAGCAGAGAGGGCGAGCTGGTCCCTGTGGCCGCCATTAAAGCGAAGGGAAAACCCGTGAATTCGGATTAAAGGGGGAAAAACACCGCCCGCTGGGCCCACAAAATGGGGGAGACTACGGCGTCCGGGCGGTGAGGCCGCAGGAGAGCAGGCGCGAGGCCGGCTTGGCCCGGGGACCACAGGAGACACGGCCGGAGGATGGTGTGAGCCGCAGCCGCCGCCAGCGCCGCCGCCGCCGAGGAGACCGGGCTAAGGACATCGCCGCCGCCGGGCGGGCCGGCGGCCTGGGCTCCTCTCCGGGCTCGCCCTTCCCGCCCCTCCGCGGGCGCCTCCCGCCCGGGGAAGCTCCGGCGCTCGGGCCCTTCCCCTCTCGGACTCGATTTTAATTATTTATTGTGTAATTTATTATTTTTCTCGCGGAAGGGACACCCATCCTCTCTGTCCCCCAAAGAGGGACGAGCGTCCGCGGGCTCCGCGGCGGCCACAGCCCGGCCCGCGGGGCGAGCGCGGCGCGGCCCTCCCGCCTCCGGGCGGCCCCGGGCGGCCGGGTGCCGGCGGGCGGGCGGCGGGGCTGCTCGCGGCGGCGGGGGGGTGGGTGGGGAGGGCGGGCGGCCCGGCGGCCTCCGCTCCCACTGTCCCCCCGGCCCGCACCCCCCGCCCTGCCCGGTGTCTGCGCTCCTCTCTCCGGTCGGAGGCGGAGGTAATGGCGGATGGTGGGTCGTGGCGCCGGCGGCGGCTGCTGTGAGGGACGATGAGTTCCTCCTTCGTGCCGAACGGGGCCAGCCTGGAAGATTGTCACTGTAACCTCTTCTGCCTGGTGAGTGCCGGGCCGGGGGGACGGGGCAGGGGGCGAAGTGCGCCCTTGGGCCGTGGGGGAGGGGGTCCGTCCGTCCGACCGACCGACCGGGTCCCGGCTAGGCCCCGCCGCGGCCGGCCCCGCGCCGCGCCGCCGGAGCCGGGTGGCTCCCGCACCGCCCCGGGCCGTGTTGTGGGAGAGTTGGGTTTTCTCTCGTCTTGTTTCCGACTCCCCCCGCCCCCGCCGAGCCTGGTCTCCAACTCGGGCCCCGTGTCTGGCAGGACGTGGACGTCTCCTCGGAGTTTCTCGCTCCGCTGTTGCTCTTCTCCTTGGTGACCGTGCTCCCCGCTCCCCACCGTGGCCGTCCTCCCGCTTGTCTCTGCGCCCGACTCCGGCGTTTGTTCCCCCGGCACACGGGACCCCGGAACTTACCAAAAAAAAAAAAAAAAGAAATCTCTTCGTTTTCCCAGTTTTTTTTTTTTTTTTTTTTTTTTTTTTACACGAGTCACACTAACAGAAGGCTAGCGTCTTCCTAAGGAGATTTCAGACCTCTGTAAGGAACAGTAGAAGCCATTTCATATGTTTCTCTTTAAACTTTGAAAACAGTTTGCCGTTTTGACAATTTCTGGCCATCTTGCTTTTATTAGAACATTATGTCTGTGTGAGTGGAACAGGCTAAGGGAGGAGGTGCTGTGGGTGGTGGTTTTTTTTTTTTTTGTTTGTTTGTTTTTTGCACTAAATATTTGTGTATTTGTTTTGCTCGCGTGTTTTGAATTTTGAGCAGCCCTGCCCCACGTTTTATTGAAAAGTCTGGGGAAGCTGGATGGAGGGATGACAATTGTGTGTAGGTTGTTGGCCCAGGTCTGGGAGCATCCCACCGCCCAAGACTTTAAAAAGTACCAACTGTTGCAAATACTTAGTCCTCGATTGGACGATACTTTAGTTTCAGTGCTTTAAAGTTTCGGTGGCTTTTCTTTTTTCATTTTCAATGTGCTTTGAAAAATATTGAGAGAGTATGTGATAGGTAAGTGAGTTGAGTGGGCGGAGCACGACTGGTTGGCAAGTGTAAACTGCCAGTCACGTATCAGCCGTTTCATTTTGGCACCTGTACCTTGTACCTTTAGGTTACAGCAAAGAATTACTGAATTCCTTCCGTTGAATTTCTTTGAAGATGCGAAGTTAAGACCTTTAATGCACTGTCCCCTATGAAATTGTTTTTGTACAATGTCCATTAAACAGTATCTGGAAAGACAAACGAAGGTTTTACATTTCTGTCTTCTCTGACTCAGTCTATTTTTGGTGCTTTTAGGATCAGGTTCTTTGCAGATAGACTAGCACAAATCTGACAGTTCTTTGTGAGCAGCTATTTGACTTCCTAAAAGGGATATGTGAAGAAGTACCAAGAATTTTTTGTTAATAGTTCAGACTTCCCTAAGCATGAGTCTTTAAAAAACTAATTTTCTGTTACAAGTTTGCCACCAAGGAACAAAGGTGACCAGTTAGAATAAACATGTTAGGGAGGAAATGTTATTCAGTGTGCAGTATTAAATACATGTTTATATTTATCACTATTACATTTTTTGTATTTCTCCTTGGGATGCACATTTATTGACTTGCTATTGAGTGACATTCCAATGTTAATTATTAAACTTTTTTTGTTCTTTTACTTAAAATTTTGATTGTTGAATTTTCATAATAAGCATATTTTTGTCAATCTGCTTTCAAGATCTTAAGCTTATACTAAAAAAATTGTAATGTACTGATGAAATAAGGGACTTGAATAGTGAATGTTTTTGACTTGGAATGTGCGGTAATAAGAAAAATCTCGCTTTCTTTTCTTCAGGCTGACTTGACAGGAATTAAATGGAAAAGATATGTATGGCAAGGCCCAACTTCTGCCCCTATTCTGTTTCCGGTGACAGAGGAAGACCCCATTTTGAGCAGCTTTAGTCGCTGCCTTAAGGCAGATGTACTTGGTGTTTGGCGTCGAGATCAAAGACCTGGAAGAAGAGAATTGTGGATATTTTGGTGGGGTGAAGATCCTAATTTCGCTGACCTTATTCACCATGACTTATCAGGTGAAAGCAACTTATTTCTAGCTAATGATATAGCAATATTGTATATTTTCCCCAAAAATCTTTTGTATTAAGAGTTTTCTTGGTAGAATAATATTAAGTATGAAGCCAGATACACATTCAGTTTTATGTTTATTTCACTGTGATTATTTCACTGTGGTTACTTTATTTTGCTTAAATTATCCATATTATGGAAGGCTTTTTAAACCTTAAATAACTTTATTCTCTCAGCTTCATGAATTTCTCAGAGCTTAAGAAAGGAATGTTACATTAACCTTAGAAAATGAAATCAGAGAGCAAAAAGTTCCTAACAAAGTCATATAATACTTTTGAAGTTAAATGTAATTTAACTTTGAATCAATTCTGCCACTGCCCTCCTCTATATAAATATGCAGACAATTGTAACAGTATCTGGAAATGTTGTAACTTTCTCCTTTTTTCAAGACATACAGTTAGTTTGTTTTATTAACATATGAAGCCTTATGTTAATTTGGTTGTTCTTGGAAAGTGATTATTTTAGATACTGTTGCATCAAAGACTATCATTAACATGAGATGAGTGCCAACTTATTTAGCTTTCATTAGGATGTTGATACATAATCTAAAAAGTTACATAGAAGGAAATTTATTATGAGCAAATTATTAAGAAATCTTTCATCTTATTTTTTTATTTAGGACTAGATGTTACTTTAAATATAAAGTACACAACTGAAGGTTGTGTACTTTATATTGTAGAGTCAATGTAAGTTGAATCTCTGATGATAGGAATGTAAATGATTGTTTGCTGCAAGGTATCAAAGACTCAGCAAAATGTTTAATGATTATTGAGAGGTAAATTTAGGATTTTTAGATTACTAAAAAAAAAAAAAGCATTTTTATTTGAAATTGAGTTCTCTGAAGTTTCTATTGTCTATAACCTATAGGACCTATATTTTTTATCTAATGTAATTCATATGACTATCTCAAGCACTAAGTAAGACCAGTTTTTGTGCAGGAATGTAAGTGTTACATTTGTTTTGATGACTGCTTTTCATCTTCTAATGAACAGACCCTTCATGTTAATCCTTATTTTTGAGAGTGGTTGCTATTTTTTTATGATAAATGCTTTCTAGCTTTCCAGCTTTCCTAATAACATCTTTGCTGGAGAGTTTAGCCCTTAGTTCTAAGTGTGTAATATTTCCTAATTATGTAAAATGATGTGTTTGTATATATGTATAAGTACACATATATGCATATATCTCATGACATAAAATTTATTTATGGCATCAGCAAGATCATACTTTTTAATTGCTAACAGCCAATCCTGCCCACTTCCTTTTTCTTTCATTAATTCGGGTATACTTAGGCTATTTTCTTTATTTTAGGTGGTATAAAAACCACATTGCTAACATGTTCAAAAACTGTTTTAATGTTGATAAACTATAAATTATAGACAAACTATAATTGTTGATAAACTACAGTAACTTCTTGGAGGTTTCAGTCTTCTTAGTAAAGTTGGCAGAGTATCTGAACAGACCATTTTCTCCCAGATTTCATGAAATACATTTTGTGGAATCAAAGATAATTTTAACAAGATACATAGTATTTCATTTTACCATAGTGGGACTAATGTCTTGAAAATTAAAAGCCTATTAAAGTTAAATATAAGCTGTTTTGATGCATATTAAAAAATTATGTTGATATTTTTCTAAGTTTTATGTTATGAGTTAAACGTTTTCTTCCGAAACTGCATTATAGTTTAAAACATTTCTTCTCTAATTTTTTAGCATAATTTTAAAAAATGGTAATACCTGTACTCTAAGATACTGATTTTGAATGTGAATAAAAGTAATTTTGGAAGATCAGGTTTTAAATGTCAGATTTAACTGAATGCCCTTCCATGGTAAATAACTTTTAAAATTTTATGAGCTAAAGCAATTGAAATAGTAAACCAAAATATATTAGAAGTATATAATCATACGTGCTGTTTCAAAGACTGTCCTATACTGTTTTAAACAGTTGTATAGTCAGTGCTGTTTATATAATGTTCTAACATTTTTTTAACCTGTCATTTACTTTAGAATGTTTTCACTTAAATTAGACATATCCTAAAGAATAGTAAGGTTTTTTTCAGATGGAGTTTATTTGTCTCGCTCTTTTCTTTGCCCCAGGGACACTCCGTCTGCCTCCCTTTTGGGGTAATTAGTCTTCGCCTCTGTCTCTCTAGCTAACCCATTTTCATTTCTTTCCATCTGTGGCACTCTATTCCTCCTTTTAAACTCCCCTGAGAAGAGAGCATCTGGACAGTAGGGGTGGCATCAGCTGCAGGAAGCAATCCTGAGTTCCAAGTGGAGGTGTAGCATTGAGGAAAGGGGAACCGGAAGGACCCAGGTGGTAACTAAAAAGCTGGTTAATTTAGTTTGAGGCTGCTTTTTAAGGCAGGGTCCTTCTGTTTGCTTTAGCACCTACCACATCTTATTACTTAAATGTTTGTAATTATGGTGATGATAATGCCCTTCTTGCAGGGGAAGGAGGAAAGGCATATCTTTTAGCAAAGATTAGAAGTCTCAGTTTTTCTTATTAACTGAAGTATTCAATAATAAAAGTATAGAATTGCCTTTGCTTAATCTCCTTACCACCTTTGTATCATCCATAGTGTATTTTTTTATCCTTATCTGAGGATATGTTTATTGATGTTAGAGAGCAAGGAAGTGGGGAGAGAGACAGACAGATACCAATTTGAGGGAGAAGCATTCATTGGTTGCCTCCCATACTTGCCCCAACCGGGAATGTGCCCTGATGGAATTTAATCTGCAGCTTTTTGGTGTACTCCAACTAGTGAGCCACCTGGCCGGGGCCACAGTGTATGTTTTTTTAAAATTTTTATTTTAAAACAGTTTTTTACTTATATAAAAGTTGCAAAAGTAGTATAGAGAGTTCCTGTATATCCCTCACCCAGTTTCTCTTATTAACATTTTATATTAAAATAGTACATCTTCCAACTAATAAATCAATATTGGTGCATTAATATAAATTAAGTCTATACTTTATTTGAAATTTCTTTAGCTTTACTAATATCCTATTATCTCATCCAAGATATACCACATTGCATTTGTCATATCTCCTTAGGCTATTCTAGACAGGCATTTTCTCAGGCTACCCTTGTTTTTTATTATCTTGATAGTTCTGAATAGTCTGGTCACATTCCATAGTGCATTTTAAATTTCTGCCTGTCTGTCTTATATCAATATGTAGCACACGTTTGGGTCACCTTCCTTTCAAGTTTAGCTGATGTATAGAAATAGGACATAAACTTGTTTTATTGCTAATTGTTAAAAATCTGTTGCAGCAAACCAAATCTGATTTGATAAATACTTTAAATCCTCAGTCACTTATTTTGTAGCAGAGGTCAATACTTTTTAGTAAGACCTGTTGTAGTATTTTGCAATACTAGCTAGCATTTGTTCAAAATACCCCTTGGATTGGAAAGCCAAACACTTTATTTTATATATATATATTGATTTGAGAGAGGGAGAGTGAGACAGAAGCATCAATGATTAGAGAGAATCATTGATCTGCTGCCTCCTGCAGGTCCCACACTGGGGATCAAGCCCATCACTCAGGCATGTCCCTGACTGGGAATTGAACCGTGACCTTCTGGTTCATGGGTCGATGCTCAAACACTAAGCCACGCCAGCTGGGCAAAGCCAAACACTTTAAAAATGAAAAAGAAAACTTTTTGCTCTGCTCCCTCTAAGAGAATGGATAGTTGAATCAATATCAATAAGTTTTGATTAAAAAAAAAATCAGGGGACAAAACTCCTCTCTGATTGCAACCTTTTAAATTTTATTTATTTTTTAAATTTAAACTTTATAGCAGACCTTGTTTAGTGCTTATATGATAGAAGTGTTAAGTTGATGGTGGGAAAATTTTATCTTAAACCCTCTGGTCAAAAATCTCTATAATGGCCCTAGCTGGTTTGGTTCAGTGGATAGAGCATCTGCCTGCGGACTGAAGGGTCCCTGGCAAGGGCACATGCCCAGGCTGCAGGCTCAGTCCCCAGGAGGTGTGCAGGAGTTAGCTGATCAATGATTCTCTCTCATCTCTCATCATTGTTTTTATTTCTTTTTCTCTTTCCCTTCCTTTTTGAAATCAATAAAAATATATTTTAAAAAAATCTCTATAGTGGATAGAACTGATTTGTTATTTTACATATATTATTAATTTGTTTCGAAGCAAGACTGTTTCACTATCATTAGTGTGCCCTTAAAGGAGAAAAGTTTTCAGAATATTTTATTCTGCGTCTTAACCTTTTTGGTATTTTATTGTTGTCACCATTGGCTTTTAGTCTTTACTTTAAAACAAAATAAAAACAAAAACTCCCTCTCCCAACCTTTGCATCTTAAAAAAAAAAAAAATCATAGTAAGCTAGAATGTGATGAGACTGAAAAAACTGATACCTTGAAAACTAAAAAACAGGCTCAGAGCCAAAAATATTTATTTTTCCTGAATCCTGTGATCTATAAATGGGATTTTAGCAACATGTTCAAATACTTTAATTATGCTGGAATTTCATCATAGTACTATGAAACGAAATGGGCCATTGGTTAGTCTTATAATTGAATTTTGAATGCTTTTTTATTGAAGGATATTAATTATAGTGGAATTTAACCTTAATTAGCAGCATTCACAATATTGATAGATAAACAACTGCCAAGTATAGGGACCTACAAACTAAAAAATTATTTTGTGCCCCAGGTAGCCTGAAGAGAGCTAATTTATTTCTATCTTCTGTACCACGATACTTGTGATCCAACATTTTAAATTGGCTAATCTTCTAGGAACAACTTTATTTGCCATATTTTTTTCTGTGTACTGTCTATTTTGAATAAGAAAGTGTTTTTTTAAGTCTTAAAAAATAATCAATATATTAGACTATTTTAAAATCAAAGTTGGTTTTGCCATCTATCAACGTGCTGCCAGTTTAAGGCTCTCAGTAATATTGCTGAATTAATGAATTATGAGTAGGCAATTATTCTTCAAGACAAACACTGGACTAGATATTTAATTTTTCTTTTTCTTTCAGGAAATACATGATATTTTCTACCATGATAATTTTGACCCATTTATTAATCATTAGTGTATGTTTCATTCTAATAGCTTGTCAGAATTATTTAGGAAAAGATTCCTTCTCGCCGGGACCGGTTTGGCTCAGTGAATAGAGCATCGGCCTGCGGACTGAAAGGTCCCGGGTTCGATTCCGGTCAAGGACATGTACCTTGGTTGCGGGCACATCCCCAGTGGGGGGTGTGCAAGAGGCAGCTGGTCGATGTTTTTCTCTCATCGATGTTTCTAACTCTCTGTCCCTCTCAATTCCTCTCTGTGTAAAATCAATAAAATATATTAAAAAAAAAAAAAAGATTCCTTCTCTCCCAGTTTATCACTGTGAAGATATTTAAAGATGTCAGTTGCGTATGAGTACTAAGTGTATTAGCTTTTTTGTTTTTTATTTTTTTGACCTACCACATACTTTGGTATCAATATAATCTGTGTCCTCAGAAAAAAATACAGTGATTACATTTAGCAATATAATCTGTTTTCCTCAGAAAAAAATACAGTGATTACATTTTGCATTGTTCAAATAAATACTTTGTAAAAATAAGTAGCAATGACTAAAAGTTTTAATGCTAATAGTAATGCAAAAGTACTGAAAGCCCAGAATTGAAACTTTTCTCTAAGGATACAGATACCAGAGGAAGAAGACATTTATTAAAATGCATGAAGCAGACCTTATCCATTAGGCTATGGTTGATTAAGTTGAAAAGAGGTAGGCAAAGATTTGCCATGTGTTCCTCTTTCCTAATATCGATATAATGCTGTCCTTGATATTTGAGGAGTTGTTTTAATTAATGTAAGAGGTGCATATCACTATGTCTTAGTTGTACCTTTTCACTTTTCATATCTTTGAATACAACATATAGAGAAGTACATTTATTAGGATTATTATAACATTAGGGTATTAGAATCTTGGCTTAGTAAGCTTCTTGTTTCTAAATAACGCCCCCTTTCTTTCAGGCTTTTTATTAAGTGTTATTAGAATTTAATTCTCATTATTTCCTCAGCAAAGAAAACTGAAATTATATTAGTGTAATATAATTTGTCACATGTGAAGATGTACTTCAGAGATTTGTTTGCTTTAGAAAACCCTAAGAGGAGGTCTGTTTTTCTTTGTTTTATGCATAATCCTTATTTAATGTTAATGAGAATTATGGGCATTTGGGGAGATAATGTAAAATGAGAATTGAGTTCACCTGAGTTTCTCTAGATAAAATTTAGAGCAATGAGGGAGAAATGCTTGGAAATGAATACTGATTAATTTTCTAAACTATATTTAGTGTTCTTAAAATCATTTACAGGTTAACTGAAATGAATTCTTTTAATGAACAAAACCAAAAATTTCAGTTTTATATGAAAATATATAAATTATTGTATTATAGCCTCTGATGTGCCAAAGATTTTTTTTTTTTTTAATTTACTCTTTTGGGGAAAAAGGCAAATTCAGTCAGTCTCAAGTTTTAAGTGATACTTGAAGTTTATAGTGACTATAACTTTGATGTGTGATGGTAACTGTGTCTTGGATTTTTTTTTTTTAAATATATTTTATTGATTTTGTACAGAGAGGGAGGGAGAGAGATAGAGAGTTAGAAACATCGATGAGAGAGAGTCATCGATCAACTGCCTCTCGTACACCCCCTACTGGGGATATGCCCGAAACCAAGGTACATGCCCTTGACCGGAATCAAACCCGGGACCCTTCAGTCCCAAGCCGACGCTCTATCCATTGAACCAAACCGGTTTTGGCTGTCTTGGATTTTTGATGCTTTAAAACTTAGAAGTAGAAAAATGATTTTGGTAAAGGCTACTTGTGTAGGACAAATGTTACAGCCATTGTGCTTCTTAGAAGGTAAGGATTTTTGAGGTAAAAGGCAACAAAAATAAAGTACACTAAGTAGATTATAAAGAAGGGAAGAATTGGGAGGTATTATCAGCATAATTCTCTTGGAATTAAGGAATGTATTTTTAATAATCATGTCACATTATTTGAGGCAAAACTCTTTAATATAGCTATTTAATTTTGAAGTGATGGAAACTGATTTAGCCGAAAGTAGATTGATTGAGAAAGATTTTTTTTCCTCTTAGCAACTCACAAATATGCTTGTAATCCAGACCTTTAAACATTAAAGCAATGTCACTATGTGCCACTTCCCTTTTCTTCTAGCCTACTGTCCAATCAAGCGAAGCTTGTAAAGCTAAGGCTTTAAATAGAAGTAGATAAGAATGACTATAACATAATAGAATATGAAGAGCTTTTTAAATTTAATATTAGTGCCAGATATTAATGATTTAAAAATTATTGTAACTCTCAAGTTGTCATTTTCAAAAACTTATCTTTTCTTAAAGCTTACCTCTTAAGAGTAAACAGTTCATTTGAAAGATGACTGTAATTTAGGAGAATCTAGAAAGAACAACAAATTCAACCTTGAAGTTTAAAGTTCAGTCATTATGCTTTTTAGTTAATGTTTATTCTACCAATTTCTCATGCAAGTTATGAATATAAATTATGTGTCACTTTTTAAAAAATATATATTTTTATTGATTTCAGAGAGGAAGGGAGAGGGAGAGAGAGAGAGACATCAGTGATGAGAGAGAATCATTGATTAGTTGCCTCCTGCATGCCCCATACTGTGGATTGAGCCCTCAACTCAGATCAAATTGTGACCCCGCCCCGGCTCAATCACTGAGCCATGTTGGTTGGGCCCACGTGTCACTCTTAATGTCTCTGCTTTTTTTCGAAAGCATCATAGTTTATTATTTTTCTATGGGTATAGTGCAAGCATGTCAAACTCAAAGGCTAACACAGGTCAAATAAACAAGATTTAAGTTTATGTGGGCCACAAAAATAAAAAGCTTCAATTTTATGTCTATAGAGACATGCTGAATACAAAGGGCTAAAATAAATGAGTAATTGTTAACATAAAATAATAGAACGTTTTAATAAAATTAATATTTTTTCTTGAATACTAACTTGCCAGACACTGCACAAAGTAATAAGGGTAACGTAAATCTATTTTCTTGTTCTCTGAAAGCGAAATATTGCCTATTGTGCACAATAAATCAGTCAGTCCAAGATTAATGACGTGGCAATTGGCTGTTATATATTCGCTGCTAGTATTAGTGGGAGGAATGGTGTGTCTGCGCGCAAGGAAAATGAATGCAACATGATTATAGTAATCAGTCATTAGCAATCATTGTAGTTCGTTGTTAATTATGTATAACAGGATATTACAAAAATTAAGTTAAAAAATTCTTATTAAAACATTTTTTACATATCGTCATATTGGCTGAGCCACTAAAATATTTGCTGTGTGCCGCGAGTTTGACATGCTTGGAGTAGTGTATACATTTTTATTGAGTTAAGAAAGGTTTTGTATTCATTAAATTGAAAGATGACCAACATTTGTGAAATGTTTAGAAAGATATGTAGGCTATAGAAGGATATTAAATTGTATTTGAAATAACAGTTTAAAACATGATAAAAGTTAAAATGCTGAAGTAGTATCTGTAAGTTAATTGAAATGGTTAATAGATTTGCTGGCAAAATTGAGGCTGTATAGTTAGTAAAGATAGCTATACTTTATATTAGAAGTACCATTTAAAATTTAAGTCTTTAAATTTTTCCCTCAAGTAGAGGATTCTATACTGAGTCATTGGAATCATTTGGTTGAAATGAGACCTAAGGTGGCTGATAATGCACTACTTGTTAGGCTTTGAGCCAAAGCTGCTTTTTTATTCATAGTTATTTTATAGTTGAGTCATGGATTAGAATGCTGATGGACATAGACTGTTTTGATTTTAATTATTAACTGGTTAGTTTTTTTGGCAGGCTGAATGGAAGAATTAGGACAAAGTAATAAGTGAACTAGCTTAGAAATTAGCATCTTAGTTATAGAGTGTGTTTAATATTTCCCAGGTTATACAAATGTCCTTTATTGATACAGATACCAAATCATTATATTTGCAAGATAGTGTTACATTTTTATATGGTGGGAAAATAATTTTTAGGTAATTTAATAGCATACATGGCACTTGGGCCTTTTATTCCTTATGGAGTAATTTTGAAACCTGATATTTTAATGTCTAGAGATATATAGAAGTGATTGTAGCTCAATATACTGAGGTGAAGTAGGGCTTATGTATGTAGTTTAAACTGTAACACTTTTTACTTGGTTCGGAGTATATATGGTGCCAATACTTTTTGTTTCTTTCATGTTTCTCTTGTAGAAGAGGAAGATGGAGTTTGGGAGAATGGACTTTCTTATGAGTGCCGTACTCTGCTTTTCAAAGCAATTCACAATCTTCTGGAACGGTGTTTAATGAATCGGAACTTTGTACGCATTGGCAAGTGGTTTGTAAAGCCTTATGAAAAAGATGAAAAGCCTATAAATAAAAGGTAAGCTATTGTATTTAAACTCTTTACTTGATACTTTTTTATTTGCCAGTATTTATGGCTTTACAGAAAATGTGGACTAAAATAAGCTAATGTATTACAGACATATTTTAGGGAGCTAACTTTGGCAAAGTACTGTAAGTGTTAAATTTTCTTTGTCTACTTAACCCTTTCATTTACACATTGTCAGAATTTTCTTGCCGTGGGAATACAGTGTGTGTCAATATAGTGGCCCAAGTTTTATTTTGGGATGATAGAAAAAAATGTGTGATAAGAGCAGAAGTTCATGCATTGAAGTTACTTTCTTAGTGCTAGTGGAAATGTTATTCTCAGTGCTCTATTAAAAATAAAGTAGTTTGCCCTGACCACTTTGGCTCAGTGGGTAGTGTCGGCCTGTGGACTAAAAGATCCCGGGTTCGATTTGGTCAAGGTCATGTATCTTGGTTGCATTCACGCCCCCAGTAGGGGTATGCAGGAGGCAGCTGATCGATGTTTTTCTCTCTTATCGATGCTTCTAACTTTCTCTCCCTCTCCCTTCTTCTCTGTAAAAAATCAATAAAAAACTATATTTAAAAAAATTAATACTTGTTAAAGATAGTGACCTTATAGTTTTGTTTTGGGTTAAGTTAACCTTTTACATTTCCAGACCTCTCGTTTTGCTTTAAAGTAATTTAAGTTTCTGTTTTTCTCTCCAAGACATGTTTACTCTTGGAGTGTTTATAATTTTTTTGAACTTTGAATTAAGAAAATTTATGACAATTTGCAGAGTAGTTTTAGACAGAGGTGGTTAATAGCTTTAGGCTACTGTATTTCTCCGTAATTCAAATACTATAAAGCACAATCTGTTAGAAGATTCAGTGCCAAGTAGATGTTGAATTATTGAAGCTTCAAGAGAGATGAAATAATCCCAGCCAGTTAGAGCGTGAAGGGTGGTGGGTGTAGTTCCAGTCAAGGGCACTTAGGTTGGTTGCAGGCTCAATCCCCAGTCCCAGTCAGCAGGCAACCAACTGATGTCTCTCTGTCTCCATCTCTCCTTTCCACTCTCTAAAAATCAATGCATAAAATATCCTCCCGGTGAGGATTAACAAAACAAACAAAAAATATAGAGAGAGCTGAAACCGGTTTGGCTCAGTGGATAGTGTTGGACTGTGGACTGAAAGGTCCCAGGTTTAATTCTGGTCAGGGGCATGTACATTGGTTTCAGGCACATCCCCAGTAGGGGGTGTGCAGGAGGCAGCTGGTGGATGTTTCTCTTTCATTGATGTTTCTAGCTCTCTGTCCCTCTCCCTTCCTCTCTGTAAAAAATCAATAAAATATATTTAAGCCAAAACCGGTTTGGCTCAGTGGATAGAGCGTCGGCCTGCAGACTGAAAGGTCCGGGTTCGATTCTGGTCAAGGGCATGTATCTTGGTTGCGGGTATATCTCTGGTGGGGGGGGGGTATGTGTGCAGGAGGCAGCTGATTGATGTTTCTCATCGATGTTTCTAACTCTCTCTCTCTCTCTCTCTCCGTAAAAAAAAAAAAATCAATAAAATATATTTTATTTTAATTTAATTTTATTTGTTTTTAAAATATATTTTATTGATTTTGTACAGAGAGAGAGAGATACTAGTTAGAAACATCGATGAGAGAGAGTCATCGATCAGCTGCCTCTTGCACACCCCCTACTGAGGATATGCCCGCAACCAAAGTACATGCCCTTGACCGGAATTGAACCTGGGACCTTTCAGTCCCCAAGCCGACACTCTATCCATTGAGCCAAACCGGTTTTGGCTCAATAAAATATATTTTAAAAAATATATATATAGAGAGAGGTGAAGTAGTAGTGAGTAGGACGGACTGTGGAAGAAGATAAAATGAAGGACATGTATTAGCTTTCCCTAAAAGTTGTGCAGATATGAAATAAACATTTGGTTGCTATTGTAATTATTATTGAGATGCCATCTTTTATGTCATATGTGCACATCTTTTTCTTGTGCTTGTAAAGTTTTTTCATACTTTTAAAAAATATTTTTCTTGATTTCAGAGAGGAAGAGAGAGGGAGAGAGAGAAACATCAATGATGAGAGAGTATCATTGATTGGATGCTTCCTGTAGACCCCCTCCTGGGGACTGAGCCTGTAACCTAGATATGTACCCATGATTGGAATCAAACCTGAGACCCTTCAATCTGCAGGCCAACGCTCTATCCTCTGAGCCAACTGGCTAGGACCATATTTCTTTTTTTAGTTTTAGTAAAATGGATGAGCTCATAAGCCTGGACAAATCTCTATTTCATTTTTTTCTTCTTTGAAAATTAAAATAAACCTTTATTGTGAACAAAATAACTGTACAAGTTAGGAATGCATTCAGTTGCAAATGATTGCAAACCTAACTACCTGGCAAGAAGTCTGGAGGTAGATAGTTCAGTACTGGTGTATCTGTTCAATAATGTCATCAAGGACCTGGGTTCCCTAGAGTTTTCTACTCAGTCATCTTGAGCCTTTGACTTTCATTCTGATGGTCCCTGTAGGTGTTGTATCTCCAGACTTCTATCACAATGGATTCTAGGCAGGAAGAAGAAGGAAGGGAAGAAGCAATAAGGGGGATTGACCCTTAGGTCAGAAAATAGATTCTTTTCTGGAAACTAGCTGACATACTGGTTATTCTGAGAGAAATGTACATTTTTTTGTATAGGAACATTACCCCACTGAACAAAATAAGGCTTTTGGTTAGTAAGAAAAAATGGAGAGTAGATATTAAGTAGGCAATTAGAAGGGGAAGTAGATTATCAGGTAAGCAATTAGTAGTGCTCATTCTTTAGTTTTAAAAAGTCAGGCAGATCACCATAATTTAAAGTGAAAAGCTGCAATCCTGAATTCCAGCTATTAGAGGTAATCTCATCTCAGGCAATCTCTTTTCATTCTTTTAATTTTATTTTAATTTACCTATTTAAAGTTTTAGAAGCAAATAGCATATTCATTCTTGAGTTTTTAGTTATTTCAGTTATTCAGGCTTTATTTATTGATTTTCTATTGATTGTTTAGATATTTTATTCCTGATACACCCCCCATGCCCAACAGCTTGGACATTAGCATACTTCTATACACTCTGCTCCCTTTCTCTTTCATTATCTTTGTATTTCTTATTTTGTTTATTGTCAACATTATAGATGTCCCGCATTTTCCCCTTCTTTGCCCCCCTTCACCCAGCCCCTGCCCCACCCCAGGCCTTCACCATACTATTGTTTGTGTCCATGGGCTTTCCTACCTAATAAAAGAGTAATATGCAAATTAACCATCACTCTGCTATGCCCACCAGCCAGTCAGCGAGTATGCAAATTAACCCCAACCAAGATGGCTGCCACCACAGAGAGCAGGAGGGAGGATTGGATTTCCCCGGCAATGGAAGGATGCCAAGCTTTTCATACACCCTGGCTGGACCAGGCCTCCAATCAAGGATACAAAGTTTCAATTATAGAAGATAACTATATCCCAGATACTAGGGCCTCCGCTTGGGTCGCCAGGGAGCATGACCTGCCTGCACACCACCACAGGCCCCTTGTCCAGGCTGCCCCATGCCCCAAGGGAACCCCCACCCTGATCCAGGATACCCTTCAGGGAAAACCAGCTGGCCCCTACCCGTGAACCAGGCCTCTATCCTATCTAATAAAAGAGTAATATGCAGACTGACCATCACTCCAACACACAAGATCAAGAGAGCTGCCTCCATGTGGTCAAAGATCCTGCCCCAGGTGGACTCAATATGGCCACTACAAGATGGCCAGCAGGGGAAGGCAGGTGGGGGGCAGGCCTGCAAGGGAGGGCAGTTAGGGCAATCAAGCCTGCAGGGGAGGGCAGTGGGGGTGACCAGGCCAGCAGAGGAGGGAAGTTGGGGGCAAACAGGTTGACAGGGGAGGAGTTAGACGTTAGACATCAATCTGGCTAGCAGGGCAGTGGTTAGGGGGTAATTAGGCTGGCAGGCAGAAGTGGTAGGGGAAATCAGGAAGGCAGGCAGGTGAGTAGTTGGGACTCAGCAGGTGAGCCCTAAATGGGCAATAGGACATCCCTTGAGGGGTCCCAGATTAGAAAGGGTACAGGCTGAGCCAAGGGACACCCCCCACCCCATGCTCGAATTTCATGCACCAGGCCTCTAGTCAGTATATAAGTGTATGTTCTTTGGTTAATCTCTTTCCTTGTCTTGCCAGTATAGTTGTTATAAGATTTGGTAAAAACAATACCTGTTGTTTGTTTGTTTGTTTATTTATTTATTTATTTATTTTATTTATTTTTAAAATATATTTTTTGTTGATTTTGTACAGAGAAGAAGGGAGAGAGATGGAGAGTTAGAAACATTGATGAGAGAGAACCATTGATCAGCTGCCTCTTGCACATCCCCTACTGTGATGTGCCCGCAACCAAGGTACATGCCCTTGACCGGAATCGAATCCGGGACACTTCAGTCCCCAAGCCGACGCTCTATCCATTGAGCCAAACCGGTTTCGGCAATAACTGTTGTTTATATTACTATGGTTATATAAATATTATTTGTAGCTGAGCCATATAGTGTACTAGGATTATACTCCATTTCTTCCACATCTTTTTGTTTTCCCTAGTGTTAATGATTATTTCTTTTTCATTTAATTTTCTATGTTAGGGGTTGGTAAACTACCACTCAACAGAGCAAATGTAGCCTGCCACCTGTTTTATAAGTAAAATTATAGTGTAGCATAGCCATGCTAATTCATTAATGGTTTACTTTATGCCTGCTTTCACACTGAAGCAAAATTGTATAGTAATGACCCACAAAACATACAATATGCATTCTCTGGCTCTTTATAAATAAAGTTTGCTGATTCCTGTTCTCTGTACTACTTGATAATTCACCCCTAGACCATCTGCCCAAAGTGCAAATCTCCCTACTTACTTTTAAGAAGTTTGTGTAATCTATTTTATATTTTTCCTCTCTCCCTCTCCTGTTAACATTTCTTTTAGAACCCTTCATTCTTTTTTTTTTTTTTTAATC